TCAAGTTTGGAGATGCCTGAGAGGATCAATGATCTCTGTTCTGTTCTCTCTAAAGATTTAGGGCCATAAGTGATCATACATCTGGATTTTTGTTTCCAATGCTGGTGTAAACACGACTCTCAAATAACAGGAAGCACAATAGACATTGGATTCTAATGAAATCCAATGTACTAGAACATATGTTTATACTACAGTGATCTGGCTACACATATTGGAAATGGAAATTCTTTTCTATATATTCCTTAATCAAGTGAACCAGGGCACACTCAATTCATCCATGAAATGGGAAGGAGGTGATTTGGCCAAATATCTGTTTCAAAAGGAGTCAACCATGGTGGGTTTTTTTTTATTGCTGTGTGCCTTAAGTTTGAGGCTATGCCAGAATACAGAGCCATCCTTCACAAATCAAGAAATAATAAGACATTTCCTTCCTGTTGCACTGCACCCTATGTGACTTTTTTTTCATTATCATGTTTTCAGATTTTTACAAAGCAAACCTAATTAAGAAGCTCTCTCATTAGTCTTCCAGAAAAATTAGCACAGCTTATGCTAATTGCTCCTGTAAAATTTAATAAACTCATTGAAATGGGAATAGTCTAATGAGGTTTTATTTATTGAACTAGAATAACTATATGGGAGAAAAGAGGTTAAGACGTAAGAATATCCAATGTGGCAATAAAAATACAATGTATTCCAGTCCTGCCTAGGAATTTTATGGCAAACCTTTTAAATTCAAATTGGAGTCACTGTTGGAACGTTCGTCGATTTGGAATATAGTAACAGGAAGTAGTTTTCTCTTCTTTTTCTTTTTTTTTTTTCTGTTACTAGGTTGAACATGTCCTGTGCCCCTTGTAATAGGGATGGCTGCATATCAAGTTGTTTTGCATCATTGTGCATCCTCTAAAGATGTGTCACTTCCTCATCTTCATGAAATAACACGCAGTTTTATAGAATGCTGTGGGGGGAGGGTATCTGAAAATCATCACTCCTTTAAATAATAGTTGGAAGCAGATTCTACCACATTGTTGCATTTTCTACAAACTGCAGATTGTTTCTGTCAAATGACAACCAGGAGAAAATGCACAAAGGACTAGCTCTTTGGGATTGAGGGAATTATCTGCTATTATTAGCATTTTGAAGATTAATATATAGTCATCTTTGATACAGTAAGCTTTAAGATGTATCACTGGACATTTCACCTTTGTTTTGATGCATATACATTTGTACTGAAGAATGTACATAATAGCATCACCAAAGGATCCTTACATGTGTAAATGGGTATCAGAACATAGATGCACATATATTTTCCCATTAATGTCCAGGTTTGTTTGTTTTTTAAACTGAATTGGTGAAAAATCCTAGATTCAGTTTTTACATTTCCAGACATAATGGTGAAAGTAGATGATTACAATACATAATATGGTTTTAAGGTACTTTGACTGCAATCGTGGTGGCAAAAGGTACCTCTCCACATACATATGAGCTACATTCACTACCAAACCTATAAGATTCTGCTTCCCCCCCCCATCCATGTGAACTGCTTTGGCCATGATACAATTCTAGCATGCTTCTTTAAATGCAGTCCTTTCCCAGTCTGGCCTCTGCAAACTTCAAAAAATCTAATGCCTTCCAAGTATGTTGGGACTATGATCTCATCAATCTCAAGTGCCGTGGCCAATGGCCATGTTGACTGGGAATTATGTTCATTGTAGTACCAACACAACTGGAGGACAGCAGCTCAGAGAAGATTAATCAGGAAACAATTACAAGAGGGGTTCAGAAATCTCTCACTTAATGTACAACACTTACAGCTCATATTGTGATAAATTAGTGTAAGAGATACGTAATAACAAAAGAAGGTATTTTAGAAATGTCCAGTACCCAACAGAAGAGAATCTATTACAAGTAGCAGTAGAAGAGAGTCTAGTACATATATGGGTAGTGATGGCCACAAGGCATACAGCTGCCCCAGGCCCTAGCTGATGGTCATGCTAATTAATGCTCTGGGGAGCTGAAGTCCAAAATATCTGGAAGATATCAGATCTCCTACCCAGAGATCTGATATAGTAACAAATATAACCTCTACCAGCATTTAATCCTGGACATTCACAGCATTTGTAAGAGATTACCAATATGTATACATCAAAGTTGTTATTCATTAATTTTCAAATAATCTATAATAGTATATTACATACACAAAAAATAGCTCACCAGGCATTCCTCAAACCAAATTATATAAATGTAGCAAAAGGAAGATCGTCTATACATAGAAATACGTACATGATTTCAATATGGTTTCTGCCTGCTTACATGTAACACCCAAGGTCACCATTTTGTGTTAAAGTTTCTTCAGGCCAAATAGGTTGCACAATCTGCCAGGCATAAGTCTCTTCAAACTCTCTTCCTTAATCCTATAAAAGGATCACTTGGCAGTAAACAAACAAACAAAAAAAGCAAACCATGGTTTTGCATACCAATTGGCATAATAGCTTACAATTTTATGCATGCAGGAGTGACAGCAGATTGCAACTCAACATATGTTCTGGCTCATGACAGCTTTTTAATGTTAACACAATTGGTGAAGTATTCCGTTTACATGTGAGTTCCATGCAGATTGCTTTACATTTTTCGAAATCAAGAGGGGAAAATTACACTAGTAAATGTCACCAGAGCCACCAACTGTACAAAGCACTTACTTTCTTTTGCGTAAATGTTTGAACTATCCCTGGCCAAGAAAAAGGTTTTAAGTACCCTACTGGGACAGATGCTAAGCGGCAACAATAGAAGCCACACTAATGCAATTCAGGTAACCCAATCCTGTTTCAAAAACACAGGCAAGGCTAATTACAGCTCGGCTGAGTCAAATTTCTTGTGCCACTGCAACCCACAGGAGCAGGTCAAAATCACATGTTATTCAAACCACAGTTATATCAAACTTCTCTATCAAAATCACCACTTAAAACCAAAAGAGGAATTTTCAAAGATTAACCGGTTCATATTCAAAGTAGGTGACAAAGCAGTATTTGTAAGAGTAACAAAAATACAAACGAAAATAAGCATGATTTTTAGTTTCACGAAAAATCTTTATGAACCAGGTAAAGTACTGCATGATCAAAGTTCTGTACAACTATAGTATGGTGACTCTCCAGACCAAGAGCTGAAGGAAAACAAAAGACAGAAAGGATAATCTGGATAAAATATAATTTCTTAGTAAAAAGCACAAACAAGGACTTAGTCCATAAAATATCAGCAATCCTTGCAATACAATCAATCAAAAAACCTCTATTCATCTACATTTCTCAGAGAACTAGAAGCAGAAAATCATAATCATCAGCTTCACAAAATAGAGGATTTTAAATCATGGTTTAAATTGGGGTTTTATCATGGTTTCTTCTCAGTTTAAACACAATGGAAATTTATTTTTGTCTGTTTATGTTCTGGGAGAAAGAAAGAGGATTCAAGGATTTCTTGAATACAAAAATACAGCAGACAGTACCATATTTAATATCTTATAATTGTTCAATAATTTCTTAATTATTTAGGTATTACAGGAGTGCCAGAGTGTAGATCTGGCATAGAAAGCTTATACAGAACCTCACAATGTACCCAAAAAAGTGTCCTCAAACCTTAACATGCAATTGATACATTATGTAATGCTAATTGGAATTTACTTAAAACATTTATTTATTTTACAAATTCATATAGTTGTTTTACAAAAAAAAAAATGAGAGAGAGAAAATTGTACTATCAGCACAAAAGGAAGTAAATTATGTTGAGTTAAATACAGCTCCCTCCCTAATATGCATGTTTAGAATTTAGACATAGAGGCAATTATTGTTTTTACATCATGTTTTCTCATCACCACTACAACAGAATTTCACTTCCTTTCAGTACCACGCTGTACACTTCTAGTACAACTCAACAAAGTAATGTTTATGAATTGAACACAGTTCACAATATCTTTGATGCCTTTCCCTAACCTTATGCTCTCCAGATATTTTGGACTACAGTTCCCAGAATTCCCAGATGCCTTGGGTACAAATCTGGAAATGACAGACCCAATTCACCTGAAGGATGCCAATAAGGCAGATCTAGATAATACAACAAGAGACATTTGATTCTACACCTATCCAGCACCCTGCTTAGCTGATGGCATTCAGTCTCTGCTCTGCATGTCACCTAACTCTCACAGAGTAATTTGTGACACTGTAATAGTTTATCATATGTTTCTGTATGACAAGTTTCAATAATTAAAATGTAAAGAAGACTATTTGGTGACAGCATGGCCTAATTTGCAAGCCTGCTGCGTGCAAATTATATAGACCAACTCAGTGAATTTATTGTTCTATAGTGATTTATTCGGTCATGCCAGATTAGTAATTTAGGTTGGTTTAGAAGCCATAATAATTAAGACAGAGAAAATGAATTAATCAACTAACAATGCAATCAAAACTGCACTCAAACCAAAGAAAACAAGCTGGAGACCTTAAAGGAGAAGGGAGAGGAAAAGAGACTTGAAGTGGGGGGAGGGATCTTAAGTTTGCCGATCTCCTAATGCACAAATAAAATAAACCTTACAATGTAGATAGATTGCATCCAACAGCACTACAATAGCTAAAAAGTGATAATGCTTCAAACATTTTTCAAAGTAAAAAGTTAAATATTTATAAGCACCCAACCACATTTCATAAATCACTAACTATTATTATTTTATATTCCCAACGCTTTCCCAGGCACAGCATGCGAATCGAGGCACAGAAAGTTGCAGAGAAAAATATCCTCCACAGGAACATGAATCAGAGTTTCTCAGCAGAACCCTCCACTGAGCCTTTTCTCCCCCAGTTCCACCCCATCTGGCCTTTCCCAGAGAATCAAAACCTTGCAGGCTCACTAATTCCAAACAAACCACAAAATGACGCCCACAGACAAGCATCGCCCTTCGGCCGTTAGCAATACAGGACAGACGTTCCAGTAATAACATGGCACAACGAACAGACAAATACCCTCTCAAAATAAATCTACACCAAAGAACAGCAGCCCTTACCTGTCAATTATCACCGGATCTGAAGGAGTCTCATTTCTGTTGCCACAGCTTTTCTTGTCACAACAGCGGCTATGGAGCAAGAAGGAGAGGATTTAGTGCAGCTATTACACTCTAAAAACCATCATTACAGATACAGGAAGGATGGTATTGCTGGCTAGAGTTACCGTGCGCTCTCCCTGCCTGGAAATCAGTCAAATACAGTAGGTCACATATGGGTTAATTACTAGGTTTGACTTCTTTCACAGCTGGCACACAACTACCACATGCACGCAGAAAAGGAAAAAATGGAGGACACAACTTTTGCAGTTTCTAAGGCTAGGTTTCTAGGCTGATACTAATGGCCTCCAAGTACATCGCAGATGGTTCAAGGTGCCCTCAAACAAGGGTAGTAGCAGCCACCCACAGGGAAGCAAAAAAAAAAAAGATTCTGTGCAAAGATTTTGCCCTTCAAATCTTGAAAATATCCGGGTTTTTCCAAATGAACAGACACTGTGATTCCAAGAAATCTTTGTGAATGAAAAGAGCAAAAAGATGCCCAGAATCCTAGAGCATGAGCCAACAACTTTAAAAAGGCATAACAAATGTATCCCCAGATATATTTATTCAAACTAAAGAAAATAGTTAAATAATACAATGTAACCATGAGTGGCAGATCTGCATTTACAGTTCTGCTGCATATCATAATACAGTTCCATACATGATGTAATTCTGCTCTGACACCCCCCATCCTACCTCAAGTGCTGAAAAATGGTCAGATTGTATGGTTTGTTTGTTTTTCCCCTCATTGTTGCTATTTTCAGGAAATTACCATATTTACTTGAAAGGAAGATAAAGCTCAGTTAAACATACACACACACTGCTAAGATTATATTTTAAAAGCCTAATTTTCTACTAGTGAAGTAAAACTAAAATTAATCTGACTCCCATCATAAAGGTAAATTTATTATTATTTTTTCTTTCAGATAAATACAGTAAATGCCAGGACTAATATACCATTAGGTAAAATAAAATAAAAAACAGAATAGAATCCCTATTCGTCATCTTTTCTTTGAGACAAATAAGGGAAGACTTTAGTTTATAAATGCTAAAAAATAAGACATGAACAAAATCTGACTGGCAAAATAAATCTTGCAAAAATTAGCCCATTCTTAGAAATGCTGTAACCCTATTATAATTTTGTAATAGTTTGGATTCTCTTTTCCCATAAGATGACCCCCCCTCAACCAGGTGTCATGGCTTTTGCTTGTTGAAGATGATGGGAATTAACATCAAGAGTAGTATCTTAGGGAAAATATTAATGAACCAGAACACAAGGAAATAGTTCAGAGATATTTCACACTAGACCAGCTCTCATATCAGATGAAGCCTGAAAGTGGCTTGGAGATGAATTCCCATGCATACCAGTTGGTTTGACCTATAAATTCATATAACCTGGTAGCCAAGTTCTTCTGTCTGGAGAAGGCAGAAACTCATCCAGGCAGTCGCCAGAGTCAAGACTAATTCAAAAGCAAAGAAGAAGACAAGAGAGGAGGAGAAGGAGGTGGCAACTAAAACTTCAATATTTCTCAGAAACAAGCAAAGAAATAACAGAATAACAGATTTAGAAGGGACCTTAGGATCTTCTAGTTCAACTCCTTGCTCAAGCAGGAGATCCTATACCAGGGGTAGGCAACCTTGGCTCTTTTATGACTCATGGACTTCAACTCCTAGAATTCCTGAGCCAGTACAGCTGGCTCAGGAATTCTGGGAGTTGAAGTCCACGAATCATAAAAGAGCCAAGGTTGTCTACCCCTGCCCTATACCATTTCAAACAAATGGTTGTCTAATCTCTCCTTAAAAACCTCTAGTGATGGAGCACCCACAAATAAATAAAATAAATAAGACATGAATAATATTTTATTGTTTCAAGCAGCTTTTAAAATTCCTGATGATTGGAGAATTAATAAGTTAACAATGAATGAAAATATGAACTCCAGTTTACAGCAAACAAAGAAAAATCCATTGAGCGATCCTCTCCAGAACTTACCCATCATTTTTGTTTTAAGCAGTAAAACAGTAAGGTAGACAGGTTCTGGTTTGTACCTCATTGCAATTGTGTTATCAGTGTAGCTTTAGGAAAGTTATTTCTTTGAAAGCTGTCCCTCCATAGACATACAGTATATAACAGCTATGAAATTGTAGAAAAATAGTCATCACATTAATATGTCATTAAGAATTAAACTGAATATAGAAAATTGCAGATTTGGAGCACATTCTCATAATGGGCCAAGTGTACAGCACATTTTGTAAATAAGTATCTGAAATTATTTCTACTACCTTCCGTGCATGCAGAGTAGCATTAAGCTGACATGAGGACCTGCTCTCATTTATGACTCAAATGGGAAAGGAACTCTGGTTTACAGTGAAGCAGGATGAAATTCTAATCCAGTTTGGCTTTACAGTCAGACTCATCTATGCTTTTTCTTCTCTAACGTGTTCTTCTTTGTCTCCTTCTCTTCAGAGGATCCCTATTCGTGAATATTCCATTTTGATGATATAAACTTACAGTTTTATTACATTGTTAGTCTTGATCAAAGGCACTGTTGAAAGTTGTTTAGGAATTATGTATCTATAACAAGCTATTTTGAAGCATGGGCCTTCACTGTTTTATTTCTGGAATGAAGAAATTTCATCTTAGAGAGAGCAAGCTGTCTTTCACACCATATGGCTAATGGTAGTGCATAGCAATTAGCTGGGCTGATTAATGGGGAACAGACTCTAATTTTATGCTTATAATTGAAACTGCATTTGGACCCCTGTTGCAGATTCAGCACATCCCAATCTGCACTTACCACGGTTAGAAAGCCAGTGGCAGAAAATCTAGGGATGTGTAAGCAACAAAAACTAAGTTTCCTTATTTGTCAAAAATATGGCTGCAATACAATTGATCAGAAATATGTGGGATAACATTAGACAGCCTCATACAAGTATACTATTATGTACTTCTGTGAACATCTCTGAACACTCAAATTGAACCTAAATATTTTAAGATACTTGCTTCCTGTTTTAAGTAAATATCAGGATGGTTTTTTTTTCCATTTGCTCATATGGCTTTGCAAAGCAGAGAAAAACGGAAAGATCTATTGAAATCAGCAAAATGGATAAATGATGGCAATACTGAGTAGCAGGTTTTCAAGTCAAGAGACATCAGCAGCATTGGAACTAGTTTCCAATATAAAGGTAACTGAAATAGTCATGGATTTTCCCCTAATTGACTGCTTCTATTTCAATGCTAATTTTTGATTATATACTTCATGGCTAAGGAGTTGTTTTCTGAGTTCTTTCTAAAACTCTGTGACTATGTAAGGCTCTATATAAATGCTTAAACAAATAATAATAAACTTGGATGACACTGGAACTGCCCATTTTATGTATGTATACACTCAGACACTTTTTGACACATCTGAAATTATATATATATTGTAATATATACTTAAAAGAATTGTTGACACGACAAATGAAGATTTTTGTGTATGCTAAAATTCTATACAGAAATGATGGGAAATTGTCCTACTATCTAAAAAAAAAAAAACCCCATAAAGCAAGCTATTCTCCAATAAATGTATTCATACACTCACAATAAGTCAAATGAGGAATACTAAGACTAAGTGATTACTAGACAATTATCTCCTGGTTTTTATTAACATCAGAAACTTGGACATCTACTAAAATATTTGCCAAATATTTACCAGTTCACATTCTGCCCAATCCTTTTTCTGAGATATTAACTTATCTATCCATGTTAATGTCATCTACAGCCTTTATTGACTTTCTCCCAACCTTTCTTTTGTTCAAATTTTTCTGAACATGATAAATAATATCAAACCAAAGAATAGTGTTCCCTGTGTTGTACTTCATTCCAGGCACTGTTTAATTAATTTTACTTGTTATAGAACAACTACTAGTCAGAAATCCACCAAGATACTCCCAGGAACTTTGGACTAGAAACAGATAAGCAAGTGCAAGAATACAAGAACGTCTAAAAGAATAGAATAGAATAGAATAGAATAGAATAGAATAGAATAGAATAGAATAGAATAGAAGCTGGAAGGGACCTTGGAGGTCTTCTAGTCCAGCCCCCTGCTCGAGTAGGAGAACCTATACCATCTCAGACAAGCATAACCTTTACATAAATCCAACAACCTCTTCCCCAAGGCTTCAAAAGAGTCCGCTTGAATTGAGCAACCAAGAAACTTAAATAAACAACAAATAAAAATGTGTCTAAATATGTTATTGATATTGGTCCTATTGGATAGGAAGAAATCACAGTAACCTTATAAGCACAAAAGTCTGCAGCATCCAAGCCCTTTGAACAGCTAAAGTAGGCAGTTCCTACAGGCAGTCCTCAACATACAATCATTCATGTAACCGTTCAAAGTTACAACAGCACTGAAAAAAATTATCTACAACTGGTCCTCATACAGCATCCCCATGGTCAAGTAATCAAACTTGGGATGTTTGGCAACCAGCTTGTATTTATGATGGTTGCAGTGTCCTGGTCATGTGTCTGTGACCTTCCCAGCCATTTTCCAAGCCAAGGGAGGAACCTGGATTCACTTAATGACCACATAACTCACTTAACAACTGCACTTAAGGCTGTAAAATCAGGTACAACTGAACTAATGGCCACCTTGTTTAGCAACAGAAATTCTGGTTCCAACTGTGGTTGTGAGTCAAAGATTACCTGTATAGATCCCCTTCTATGGACCCCAGACCCTTCTTTTTACTCTGCCCCCACTAGGTCCTTCATAGTAATCTACAAGAAAACATCCCTGCAGAAAATAAGGCCATGTTCTTGTTTACCTGAAGTACTAAAGGCTGTTATGAAAGCAATGGCCTAATGGTTATGATTTTCCTAGTGAAGTTCATGTTGGATAGATGCTCATAAGTATTTGCATTTCAGATATGCGCTCTCTCTCTCTCTCTCTCTCTCTCTCTCTCTCTCTCTCTCTCTCTCTCTCTCTCTCTCCCTCCCTCCCTCCCTCCCTCCCTCCCTCCCTCTTCCTCTCTCTCTCCCTCTCTTTCTTTCTCAGCACAAACATTTTCCATGAGGATAAAGATTCCAATCACCAAATGGCACTTTTCATCATATTATTCAAGTTTAAGTTCCAATAGATCATTGAAATGAGATCATTTAGTGACACATTTCCTGCTTATTACGCTCACACTGAGCAGATTTGGGGGTTCTTCAAAGGAAAGTTGAGAATGCTTTTAAATCCAGAAACAACTTTAGATTCAACCAAGCTTTGGAGAGAGACAGTCATTTTCTCTTTGCTAATTAAGATACGACAGAGAGTTTTCTTACCTGCACATTATTTCATGGGTGAGCAGAACTCTGCACATTTCTGGATTCTTGTCTTGGCCTTCATATACTATCGCCTAGAGGAAAAAGACAGGGAAATTTTATCTGAATAGTATTTTTTTTTAGTCATTAAGTGAATGTAGTTGGAGAAAATGATCGTTGTCACAGGGCATGAATGAATAACTATGCTGCAAACCAGCAACTTTGGCTTAAACAGATGGCATCCTTGAGGAAAAAAATAAAAACACAAAAAAACCGTCTCAGGATTTGTTGCTACAGCACCCAGAAGCTGAACTGAGTAAGCTTCAATTCAGCATTCTCGCTTCTGTTTTAACCGTCACATTATGCACATCTTCTGAGCAGGCTTTTTTAGTAGTCAAGACAACCGCAATGTTCTTTTCAATAAAACATAAACTTAATAGTGTTAAAAAAAACTCGAAAGACTCAGAACATTAGAGAGACTATTCATAAAATGAAAACTGACTATATTTTTAATTCAGAAAAACATGGTTGTGTACTTAACTAGCTACAGCTTGTGTACAGAACCTGATTCACAACTCCTGTCTGGTTAAATGTGCTAACAAATTAAAGAAAACTACATTCCTATAAATGCAAATAAACAACTTCTGGAAAACAAGAGGATAAGGCAGGATAGGCAGGATAGGCCTTCTAGTGTCATATGAGCCTTGTCAATATAAGGAACTAATTTTCTAGGCCTGTGTTTCTGAACGTTGGCAGTTTGAAGAGAAGTGGACTTCAACTCCCAGAATTCCCCAGCCAACCAATTACCAAGCACAGCTAAAAAAGATAAGCTGCTCCATCTGTGGTTTGGTGATTGTCTTGGGTTAACCAGTCAAGAACTGACTGTCTTTGGGCTCCATTTTCTTCTCTTTGTATTTCTTAGCTTTATTCACTGGCAGGCAAAATTAAAAGGGGTAGGTTCCCTTGTAATATTAAGAATTCTGTTTTACTGTGATTGTGTGAACACAGCCATAGTGACCACCGTGCAAAGAAACTCTGTTGTTGCTTGTTTTGGCTTAGTCTGCAATGTGAGTTCACCCATTGGGACTTAGCACTGTCTGAGAACCAGCCATTATGGTCTGCTCAGTATGCTGTGGCTTTAAAAACTCCTACTTTAGAAGCCACAAGGTGAAAATGGACTCTCCCCCCCCCCTTAAATTCAGTTGTGAATTGGACGTTAATGCTTCCAGGGTCCCCCTGCACTCTACTATATATGAAATCAGTGGCAGAGAGAGGTTGGACTCTATGATTATATGAAATGGTCATATAGGAAGAAACGATAAACATTTTTTTAAAAAAAGAGGTCATTTAAACAGATGCAGCTTTTCCAGTGACAATTTCACTCCACAATTTACGCAACACTAGTCTACATGGCAACCACAGATTCTTCATGGGTGCTTGGATTATACACAACTCTGAACCATAACGTGGCTCTGCATACAATGTTTTGTCAGTGGGCTGGGGAAGGAGAAATCTTCCTGGCAGCCCCCCCTCCCCGCACCACCACCACCACTCGCTAGCACGGGTCACACCTGATAATTGCCAACCAAACTGCCAATAAAGAACCGAGGCAAGGGACATGGCACCTATTGGCCAAACAAAAGGAAAAGGTATTTTGCTGAAATGTCTAGCAAGCAATTTATTGGGGTCCAATAAAAAGTGGCAAACAGCTTCACGCAGGGAACACTGCTGTGCAGAGGCAGATATTTTTGCTGGGCTGAAGATCACATTTGCAATACTTAACCTTTCTTGCCATCTTGCTACCTTGTTAAAAGTCGACCATTAGTGAGCGCCTTTTTTTACTAGGATGAGCAGTTTACACTGGAAGGCCAGGCTCCTGTGTTTTTCTTTATTAGCATTCCCCAGATTTGTTATGCCAGAATAGGAAAAGGAGCCTCTTCTCAAATTCGCCCCTCCTCAAGGCAACAGATGAAGGAATACAAGCCCTGTCTATTTATACGTAAACCCGTGTTTCACAAATCACATCTTTTCAAATTTCAAATCTTTCCTAATTTGCTCACCGTTCATATGTCAACAGAAAGAGATGGCACCTTTAGGTGTGGGTTTTTCTTTCTTTATTTTTAATGCCTCCATTATAACTGCAATGACATTTATGGATCTCCAAAACACTTCAGGAATCAATCACCATATGCCATATTTCTCTAGAATGTAAAACCTGACAAAATGCCGCTTCCATCAATCCAAAATCCTACTACAGGCAGTTCTCGACTTACAACAGTTTGTTTAGTGACCATTTGAAGTTACAATGGTCCTGAAAAACGTGACTTTGGGCTGTTTTTCACACTCATGACCACTAGGGCATCCCCACGGTCACATGATCAAAATTCAGGTGCTTGGCAACTGATTCACATTTGTGACAGTCGTAGTGTCCCGGGGTCATGTGATCACCTTTTGCGATCTTCTGATAAGCAAAGTCAATGGGGAGGCCAGATTCACTTAACAACCATGTTACTAACTTAAGAACTGGAGTGATTCGCTTATCAATTGTGATCAATTGTCCCAAAGAAATGGGACAAAACTCAATAACTATCTTACTTAAGGACAGAAATTTTGGGCTCAACCATGGTCATAAGTTGAGGACTACCTGTACTATATCCAAATAATTCTCTTTCTTACATAAACCTTTAAATTAGTTGCCCTACCTGAGAACTTGTGGTCCATTCAACTGTTGAAAGGTGAATATTCCTCAAGGCTCCTATTCTTGCAAAATTCATCTAAGCTTTTTTTTTTTTTTTTTTGCCTTCTAACATATAGTGAGAATTTGGGAACCTTCATCTCTTTGTGTGTTTACATTCAGGTATTTTATAACTCAGTATAGCTGATGTTGTAGTTAGCCCTGTGGTCCTGATTGTGTTCAGCAAGGAGACCTTTTTCCATATTATCCGATGCCAACAGCATCACTCAGTCTTCTTTGGCACATCCTTGTTAAAGGAATAGAATTCTGCTTTTCAAACCAATGCCTCTGGTTATGGCCTCTTTAACATAAACAATCAATAAAACTCTCTAATACGTGTGGAGATGGGGGGAGGGTTAAATTTAAACAGCCTTGGCCAACAAGCAGAAGCATCACATAACCCATAAAATGAGGTAATTTGGCACAGCTGTGACTTTGCCATTGAAAATGCTGCCCACTGAAGGCAAGAGGATGGGGGGGGGAGGCAGCACAGCAGTCATGAATCTCAGCCAGCGAAAGTAATTGCTTAAACATAGTATTATCACACTCCAGCACAGTACACTATATTTTAATATGATTTAGTAGTGCCATAAATAATAGCACTGATGTTGCTGTAGTTTTGTACAGCACTGGATGCCAACCTTACTTTTTGAAAAGAGAAACTCAAATGCAGCCTAAACGGCAGAGAATCTGAGCACCTGAAGATGTGAGTAATCTAATTCTGTACCCTTCCAAACTTAAACAGGGTTTTCTACCTCAATATTCCATGCCATTCATTCTATTCTCAGTGTATTTAGCATTTCTTGAAACTTGCAACAGTCCCTGCCATCCTGCTGAGCTTGTTTGGAGAGTCTAACAAGGGGAGTGCAGGATCATCAGGAGCAAATGGGAAAAATCATTCCTTTGAAAGTGGCCCCTGCTCAGAATTCCCCACATTCTGAAAGCAACTGCTTGCTACATAAGTAAGAGCACATACAGAAGCACAGATAAGTTGGGATGTTGTCAGTTGAACAAGAGACCATGGTTATGGCCTCTCCTGTGACCTGTCCAGTGTGGGCAGAGGTGGTCACTGACCTCCCAATGGTAGATCCTGAGGTTCAAAGAGTTCATGGTGATCCAGCAATTGCTTGCAGAGGGGAGATTTCTAAGGTACAGCCAAAAGTTTGTGTGTAAAGGTGTTGGCATGCTTATATTATACGCTATACACCTCCAAATAAAGGAGAAACATGTAGGAGATGACCAGGCTGAGCCCAAATGAGATCTAAATCCAGCCCACCTTGAATTCCATTGACTCTTATCTACCACCAATTTGCTTTGACTGTTAGTAGTTCAGATTCTTGTAGAGAGCTTTAGCTTACAATATACCTATATATTCATTTGGACTGCCTAAACTTCTGATATTCTGCACTTGACAAAAGATCTGGGAAAATGATGAAGAAAATAAAGTTCTGCATCTAGACCACCAACATGCAAATAAATCCTATGAAAATGCTAGGAACTAGTTTCTTCTGTTGAGATTGATGCTTTTTTGTAAAATAACAATCATAACATTTTTCTTGTGCAAACGGGAATCCGGCAGGCTTATGCCAATCATTGAACACATGCCTATACGTAGTAACCTAACCCTAGTAAACAGCAAATCTTTGCCTAAAGAACTTACTTCAACACATTTTTCTATTGTACTCACTGGAAACTCTTTGATTACAATTGACTATACTTCATATCTTTAAACTACACTAGAATCCTTTAGAGCTTGTTACAGTCAGAAAAGGAATGAAGAGAAAAGGAGGGTATTATAATTGGATTCAAGTTCTTTCATTTAAAACAAAAGTTTAATTCACTCAAAGTTTGAAACCTTAAAAATATAACTAGCATAAAACTGCATTGTGCATGACCATTGTTGTGGGGCAGATGATTAAGAACTGGAGTTTGAGTGCAGGAATCAAAGAATACCACAGGTGTAATTGCAGCTGATTTATCATGTTTTCTGGGCACTGCCAAAAAGCTAACAAAGACTGAGGTGATGGCATTTTACAGTGAATAATTGATTTACATTTAATGCAGCACAGTGGGACTCTAAAGGAATTTTCCCTAAGTAAGAACTAAAGATGCTGAAGCTCCACCATTATCCATGTTCTCAGGCCGTTCTTGTTGATACAGAAGTCAATGTGAGTTTAACTGAAGCAAGTTCAACTTCCCTAGAAGCTGCAAACAAGAATGAGCAGGTTTAATTCCCTCTCTTTCTTTACTTCCCTTCTCTCCCTCCTTGGAACTGCTGTGCTTACTTAACCTCCAGGTAGCTATTTAAAAAGAAGACCTGCTAAATAACCATAATGAAGAAATGGAGTCAACAGTGTGGTT